GAGATTGTCTAGGCCTTGGGTGTGAGTCAATTGTGGTTGTACTCCGTCTGGACCTACTAGTAGGCCAACGTAGTCCACCTTGGTCCTGCACCATTGGCATTTTGACAGTGAGATTTTAGCACCAGCAGTAGTCAGTTGATTCAGAACGTGGTCGATCTCAGCCAAGTGTGAGTCCAGTGTTGGCTGCCCCAAAAGGACATCGTCCACGTAGATCAGTGTCCCACGTTCGTGGGCGTCTGGATATGCTTTGTTCAAAAAGATGTTAAACTCAGCTGGTGAGTTAGTGTAACCAAAGGGACACCTGGTGAAGGTGTATTGTCAGCTACCAAAAGTGAAAGCTAGTTTGTGTTGGTCCTCGGCGCGCACAGGAATGGTCCAAAAACCAGAGGCGACGTCGAGGGTGGAAAAGTACTTGCCATCGGTGACCTTGGGCAGTTCCTGTTAGATCTGGGTCATTGGCCACCTAGATAAAGGAACTTGTTTGTTTAGCTTTCTGTAGTCTATGGTAAGTCTCCATTTACCATTCGGTTTCAAAACTGGCCATAAAGGTGCAGAGTAGGTGCTATTACTATGTCTGATTATGCCTTTATCTAAAAGGTCATCAATGATTTCCTTGACAGGTTGATGTGCTGCCAGGGGAATCTTGTATTGTCTGACAAATATAGGCGGTGAGTTGGGCGAAGTTGGGATGCTCACTGTGTGGAGCGAGGTCAACCCACAATCCATTGAGTCAATCGAGAATGACTTCTCATATTTCATGAGAACTTGGCGGACTTTGTCCCTTTCCTCATCAGTCGTCAGGGCGTCGGCTTGGTCGACCACCTGTTCAATCTGTGAAGAGATTGCTAAGGGTTCTTGATGTTTGGGGAGCTCCAGTGAGTCCCTTTCTGTGTCATTAGACCTGCCTATAGGTAAGACACTATAGGTTTGAGGACCTAAATCGACATCATTGGTTGAGAAGAGAGCTATGGCCTGTGTTGGTTTCGTGAACCAAACTGGACCAGTGTCTTGACTCGATACCAGGTTGTCTGGGAGTCCTCCCAGAAATGAAATGCCTAGTTCAAAATCATGAAAATCTGTGGAGATCAACCATCCTAGCCTTGTGTTTCTTGGGATCAGTACCTCTTCTGTGCCTGTGTTGCACACAGCAACAGATGTGGTTCTGGAGTCGAGGCTCACTTGGCTTGCGGCCTCAATGGACAGTCCTAGTTTGAAAAACGTAGGGGATGGTTGAAAGTATGCCTGTTTACGTCTAATAGCTTGTCCCGCCTCGATGTGGACTCGTACCATTAGGTTTGTTACCTGAGGTGGTACTGAGGTGTTTTGGTTGTTAGCAACCTGGCAGACCTCTGGAATGGTCTGTCCAGCCGTAAGGTTTGCTGTGTCTAGCACAGGAGAATCCTTTGTGGCTGGTTTTGTTGACCACAGTACATTGTGGCTGGTGTCCACTCGGACACCGAATCTTACCAAGATGTCAGAGCCTATGTAGGTTGCATGTGGTAAGTCTGGGACCACGAGGAATGGTTGGACCAGTTCCCGTTGGTTCCAGATCAGTTTCAGGTTAATGACTCCTTTGGCACTCATCACTCGTGAACTGTTGGGATACAATGGAAAGCAGAAAGCTTTCTCGATCAGAACTGGACCCAAATGTTTTTTAACCAATGTTTCGTAGAAAGCTTGGTTAATAGCTGATTTATCTGTCCACAGCGACAGTACAGCATCTTAGGTGTGGGATCCTTGGATCTCTACACCTTTAACTACCAATGGTAGGTAGTATCTGGTGGGCTCTGACTGTCTCAGCTTGCAGAGGAGGCTTCCTTGTTCGGTCAGAGTTGGGTCCACCGGTTGGGTGTCTTCGGTTTCACATGCTTTTGAAGGATTACTTACCAGGACATTGTTCTCTGCTGAGAAGTCCTCGGTGCCTTCTGCAGTGCCTGCTGTTGGGCAGCCTATGACTGTCTCAGGAGGCATGAGTGTTGGCAGGGGTTTGCTCACTCTGGCCCACATTGTCTGTTCACCATAATCTATAATCGCCTCAAAGCGATGTATAAAATCCTGGCCGATCAAAAATGGGTATGAGTCAACCGTAGACACATGTACCGGGTGGTATAGTGTCATCTCGCCAACCTGCATGTGAACCATAGCAATAGCTATTAGGGTTGTCCTCGTCTCTGCGAGGCCCTGCAGTTCTATAGCACGTTCTATGGGAGGTATTTCCCTGTGAACTCCGTTAGCGGCGGTCCTAAGCTCCTCAAACAGTTTGGCTGTCATAATAGTTATGTCGGCTCCACCGTCCAGTAGGGTGACGACCCCTTCAAGTGTGACTGACAGGTAAGCTTTTTTAGTGACCCCCTTTCTGATCAGGTTACACAGGAACCTTGTAGGTTTTGGCCAACATTTCTTCTTACGTTTACCTTTGCTTGTGTAATCCTGGTTTATCCGAACCGTTGGTGCAGTTGCTGCTGCTCCTGAGAGTTTGGTTTTTGACGGGCCTCCGTCATTGATGTATGAGATCACCCTCTCTCTGTGTGTTGAGGGGCTCTCATTTTTTGTAACAACAAGGTCCTGGTGGCTGTCCGTGACAGCGGCAACGTTGTTGTTTGTGTCACCTTGATTTGTCTGAACCGTTAGCACAGCTGTTGCTGTTTCTGAGGTTTCAGTTTGTGATGGGTCACCGTCGGTGACGTGTGGGTGTATCCCCCTTTTTTCTGGTCAGGGGCTGTCAGAGTTTTCAACAACAACGTCATGGTGACTGTCTGTGACAGCAGTAACGGTGTTGTTTGTGTGTTCTGACTCATCAGCAATGGTATTGCCACACAACGCGTCAGGTTGTTTGTCCGTGGCAATACCTTTCAATATTTCCAAGAACCGACGCACACTCTCTGTCTCTTCCGAGCTCAGAGGTCCGGGGCTCTCTTTCTGGACCCGCTGCTGTTTCTTTTTCATCTCAGGCTGTCCAGGTCGACGTGGTGGGGGAGCAGGCCCCCTCCTCTGGGGTTCCTGGTGGGATCCCTGGTTGTATGGGTTACCTTGGGTGCCATACCTTTTACCCTTACGGTGTGCGCCCCCCTTCTGGTACATTCGTTCATCCTCTGGTTTCTTGGGAAACCATTTAGGATCTTGTCTGGACCAGGGGGCACTCATCTGTTGTGGTTTTGCTGCTGGGAAATCTCGTTTCCTCTCGCCTTTCTTGGGAGGGGGAGCTGAAGCTCTCATCCCTTCCAATTCTAATGACTGGGAAGGAATCCTCTCACCTGGGAACACCTCAATGGGTGTTTTGGCCTGTGAACGGGCCTCAAAGACATTCACAGCACAATTTTTTTTATCTCACTGATGGCTTTTTCTTTAAAATTAGCCATCATCTGCACTGACATCCTTATGTCAGGGTGGAGATTTTTGCTGAAAACGAACTTAAACGCTTCCTCAGTCAGTGTCAGTGAGAGCAGATTTCTTCAGCTCTTGCAGAGTATGAATTCAGCTTTGCCCAACATGAACTGACCTCTGCCCCATGGTCAAGAACTGTCTTATGAGGCTACTAAAGACAGGTTTTATCACTACTCATTTACTATTTATTCTGCCTTGCTTCAGATATTTTTGTTCACTCAGGCTAACCTTTTGTAATTTGAAGGGATAGACTGTAAAATAGCTGCCTAAATACAGCACTGAGCTGTTGTCTATGCTTTATGGTTGTTCTACTACACCCCTCAATGTTCTCATGTATGGTGTAAACCTTGCTCTTGCCCTGCTGACAGCAACGGTGTTTGTTCATTCTATCATGTCCACATTATTGTTTGGAGCTTTGTCTCTGCTGTGTTTGTCTTGTTCTCTTCTGGTTTTTCTGTCTTTTCCTCCACTTGATGCAATGTTTACTTTACTTTGACCAATCATACCCTCTTCAAAACCACCCCCCATTCAATCATTGTCAAAATCATAACTGGCTATTAGGGCTTTAACAGACTACTCTAGTAATCAACATGTCAATTCCTAGGACATCTATCGAGTTTTTAAATTTCATGTCGAGTATTCGTAGTGACGTCATTGCGTCACGTGTCACGTAATCCACCGGGCTACTAGAAGCTACCAAATGGATTCCTCCCAGCAGATGGACTGAGTGGAGCGGGCCCAGTCTTGGCACACAGGTAGAAATGCATCAGTAGTATGGAAATACTTCACTAAAGATAAATCTTCCAGTTCAACTACCATAAGGAAACAGAAAATGAATCAACTTCCTGACATTTTGGAGCTCATTGCGAACCATATTCCATAACCATATTCTGTGACCACCGTATATTGTGACCGTAGGGGGCAGTGTTGCATGCACTGTTGCAGGTCACAGAATATGGTGTAAAACCGAGTCCAATCGACCGAACCAGAACCAACTTCCTCTGACCTTGTTTCACAAACTAAAAGCAAAAAATATTAATCTCTAAACCTATAAAAAATCCTATAAATATATTAATCTCTAAAACTAAACCTAATGAGCACCACAGCTGGCGGTGGTGCGGAGTGGTCGTCCACCCCACTGTTTTCAGTTTCGTTTTTTACGTGCCACACGTTTCTTTAACTTTTGCAGCTTAATAATAATAATAGTTTTGGTTTTCCTGTGACTTATTTGCAGTATGATAAATGGAAGGAGCATAATATATGCTCCCAATGTTTTGTTGGTCTTTTTTTTTTTTTTTGGTAAATAATAAATTATGTTTTTTTGCCGTTTTATTTATTTATTTATTTCATCTTGAGATCCTATGATGTCATCAACTACTCGAGTTCTACTCGAGTTTTATTATGTTAATGTCGAGTTTAAAAATGATGTAGTCGTTCAACCTCTACTGGCTATTGCCATGACAGCATGACATGGTCCTTCCTCCAGAACTGGCTACTTGTCCTGCATGTGACACCCCGCCCATGTCCTATACTGTCTGGTGGTTGGACCCCACCACACGGTGTGCTGACTGTGGGTAATGGCGTAGTTGATTTAAATTTGGGCTTTCTGCTGACAGGTACCACTACTGTGAGAAGTGTTTCAATGAGATCCAGGGAGAGACCATTTCCCTGGGCGATGACCCTACCCAGCCACAGACGTGAGTATCACTTTATGTAAAAACAACTTCTACCTTTATTGTTGCTTGTGTGTCTTTCCCATGAACCACATTTTTATGAAACTTTCAGAAAGTAAACATTGGGTGTACCTCTACAACTTATTAACTATAATGGGGTTGGGGGGCATCAGAGGCGTGGTGAATGGCATCATCAGATACTGAATTTGGGGTTTTCATTAGTTGTCAATTATAATCATCAACATTAAAAGAAATAAGCATTTGGAATATATCAGTCTGTAATGAATTAATATAATATACAAGTTTCACTTTTTGAATGAAATTACAGAAATAAATCAACTTTTTCATGATATTCTAATTTTATGACCAGCTCTGTCAAAGGAAAATGTTAGTCAGCGGCAGGAAGCTGCTGAGATGGCAGGAAGTCCAACAAAATAAAATGCAAAAATATAAATTATGGAAATTATGAAAAAAATACACAAATTAGCTGCTCCAGTGTATAAGCCGTGTAGGCTTAAGTGGGAGAAAAAAGTAGCAGCTTGTACACCGGCAATTACGGTAAATTATTTGTATGCCCTGTCAGATTCCAGGACTGCGTTACTTTATGTTGGCATGATTTGACAAATGGTTGTATCACCACTCGCCATTTCTGTATATTTTCTTACAGTAAGTGCTTTAATTTTCAGGTCAATTAACAAGGATCAGTTTGAGAAGAAGAAGAACGACACACTTGACCCTGAGTTGTAAGTCCAGTGCTTGGCATCTTAAAACGGGAGGAAAAACAAGCTTCTGGGACTTTTAACAATCTGGTTGCCTGTGTGTCTGAATTCAGGTTTGCTGAATGTATGGACTGCGGGCGCAGGATGCATCAGATCTGTGTTTTGCACAATGATACCATCTGGCCATCAGGGTAATGAACTGTGGGACTGTTCACGTGAAAGAGTGTTTAGTATTGTTTTGTGCAGCTGAATTTTATTTCTCCTGTTTTATGTCCCATAGTTTTGTATGTGATGGCTGCTTAAAGAAGGCAAATAGGACAAGGAAGGAGAACAAGTATTCTGCCAAACGTAAGTGGCAATGTGTAGTATTTTCATTTACTATGTTTTCTGCATTTATACCCAGGGCTCCTAGGCTGACTAGAAAAGTATGGAATTGACTTTTAGCATTTTCTAGGTCTTAATACATATAATAAAACATGTATTCATGATATTCATGAATACATGACTACAGACTTTATTTTCTATTCCACTTTCTAAAGGATGGAAAATCAGAAAATTTCTACATAAATTGCAATTTTTATTTTTTTTTTTTTTTTCTTCAAAAACAATGCTTGTGGTCATAGATTTAGTTAAGATTTTGAACTGTTTAATAATATACAAGTCATAATAAATAATGATGGGTTTGAACAACCTCGGTGTGAACCGTCATTCTTCAGAAGATGAAACTCGGCCTTATCTTGAAGAACCTCCTCGACCTCCAGTTCGGGGTGGCTTTTTCAACTTGGACCAGTTTAATCGACGGTCTGAACAACCTACATGAAGCTAGCATTTATTGTTTTTTTTTATTGTTCAGGGCTTTTTTAAACTTTTAGTAGGGATTCTCATTGTTCCCTTCACATAGTTCCCACACTTGTTAAAGTTAAGACTTTTTTTAAATTTATTTAAAAAATGCAGAATTGTCTCCCAGTTGTCTTTGACACATCATCCTTCATCCGTGCTTGTTAGCACAATCTTTGACCTTAAAATCTTAGTAAAGGAACACTTGAGCCTATTTTAAGAGTCAGAGTCAGAGATTCTTTATTGTCATTCGCACCTCATGTCGTACATGGGGTGGAGCGAAATTATGTACACAGGGTCCCAGTTACATCCAACAATAAAATGTATAAGAAAAACAGTAATAACATCTAAGATATGAATTAAGAAAAACATCAACTAAATATACACTAAGCACTCATAACATAAAACATTGAACATCAGCACAAACATGAACATGAGTCTGTGTGAGCGGATGTGCACGGATGAACACATCAACATTGAAACAGATCAGCAGCAACATGAAACAGATCAGCAGCAACATGATGTGATTTTTTCACAGTGATTATTCTAGTTAGAGATTCTTGAGTCTAACAGCCTCAGGGTAGAAGCTGTTCCTCAGTCTAGTGATTCTACACTTAATGCTTCTCAACCTCCTTCCTGAGGGGAGTGGGGCAAAAAGTGTGTGTGCTGGGTGAGTGAGGTCCTTCATGATGCAGGTAGCCCTCTTCCTGCATCTGGAGGTGTAGATGTCTGTGATGGTGGGGAGGCTGACTCCGACAGTCTTCTGTGCAGCCTTCACCACTCTCTGCAAAGCTTTTCTTTCTGCAGCTGTGCAGCCTCCATGCCACACGTTGATGCTGGAGCTCTCCACTGCACACCTGTAGAAGGAGGTGAGGACTGAGCTTCCCAGACCAGCTCGTCTCTGCAGCCTGAGGAAGTAGAGTCTCTGGTGAGCTTTCTTGATCAGGCTGGTGGTGTTGTTGCTCCAGCTGAGGTTGTCATTCATGTGTACACCCAAGTACTTGTAGCTGGAGACCACTTCCACCGCAGATCCTCTTATGTTCAGGGGGGTGTGGATGTTTTTGTTCTTTCTGAAGTCCACAATCATCTCCTTTGTCTTCTTCACATTGATGTGAAGGTTATTCTCTTTGCACCAGCTCTCCAGGTGTTCCACCTCTTGCCTGTAGCTGGACTCATCATTGTTTGTGATGCATCCCACTACCGCTGTATCATCTGCAAACTTTACAATGTGACAGCCTGGATGGGTAGCAGCACAATCATACGTGAGCAGAGTAAACAGGAGGGGACTCGACACACATCCCTGAGGAGAGCCAGTGCTGAGGGTTATGGTGGAGGAGAAGTTGTGGATCCTCACTAACTGTGGTCTGTTTGTTAAAAAGTCTAGTACCCAGTTGCAAATGGAGGGGCTTAGTCCTAGTGTGGATAGTTTGTCCATCAGGGTTTGGGGGATCATGGTGTTGAAGGCGGATGTGAAGTCCACAAAGAGCATACGGACGTAAGAGTTTTTCAGGTGGTTGAGCGCAGTGTGGACCACAGAGGAGCTGGCATCCTCTGTTGATCGGTTCTCACGGTATGCATACTGATGAGGGTCCTCGTTGATGTTGATGGTTGTTTTGATGTGAGTCATGACCAGTTTTTCGAAGCATTTAGCGACTATCGGGTAAGGGCCACTGGCCGATAGTCATTCAGACCAGTCACTGTAGAGCTTTTTGGGACTGGGATGATGGTGGCAGTCTTCAGGCAGGTGGGAACTGTCTCCAGGGTAAGTGAGATGTTAAAGATGTCTGCCAGCACCTCGCAGATCTGATGGGCACATTCCTTCAACACTTTTCCGGGAATGTTGTCTGGGCCAGTTGCTTTGTGACAACCTTAATCCTCCTGAAAGTCCTTCGGCTGAGGTCACGCTGAGATGCTCTTCATCCGGTGGTGAGGTGAGTCTGGTGCTGGGTGGTCTGTTCGGGTCTTCAAAGCGTGTATAGAACTTGTTGAGGGCATCAGGCAGAGATGGGTCTTTGGGGCATTGTTCACTTCTTCCTTTATAATCTGTTATGCACTTAATGCCTCTCCACATGCTCCGAGGGTCTTGTGAGATGAATTGCAAGTTAGTTAGGATGTGATTTGTTTTGTAGATTGGTTAAAGAAACTACAGACACGGTTTCATTTTTCCTCAAGAACTATTGCTATAATTCTGGTTTTCGTTAATTTATTTCAAGTTTTGTTTGTGTATGAGGACACTGAGAGCCACACTGAGATTGCCCAGGGGCCACTTCTTACCCTTGACCCATGTGCTCCCTGTGTGCAATCAATAAATGCAGACCTATTGCCATACATTGTATGTTTACAACGTGACACCCACTTGTTTATCTCTGAAGCAGATTCAGCATTTATTTTCCCTAACTGAGCAGTTGGTAGAGCCTTAGCCCCTCAGCAAGAAGGTTGCCAGATAAAATCCCAGACCTTTCAGGGCAGAGTTTTCATGTTCTCTCCGTGCATGCGTGGGTTTTCTCCGGGTACTCCAGTTTCCTCCCACAGATCAAAAACATGCATGTTAGACTGATTGGTAACTCTAAATTGGCTCTAGGTGTGTGTGAGAGACTGAATGGTTGTTTGTCTCTATGTCCCTGTGATGGACTGGAGACCTGTCCAGGGTGTCTCGATCTCACACTCACACACACACACACACACACATCCTACCACCCTACCTAACTGGAACAGTTTGACAAAACTCACTGTATCCTGGCTGTTTTTACACTTGTATGTGTAATTACTTATACTTAATTGCTATATTAATTACTTATACTATATTTAGTTACTATATTATTATAATTACTTATACATATTACTTAATTATAATTGTTTGTGTAATATGTGTAATGACTAATTGCTCCACAGGGTTGCCCCAGACTAAGTTGGGCTGTTTTCTGGAGACGAGGGTGAACGACTTCTTGAAGCGTCAGGCCAATCCAGAATCTGGGGAGGTCTTCATTCGAGTTGTGCATGTCTCTGATAAAGTGGTGGAAGTCAAACCAGGCATGAAGTCCAGGTACAGAAAACATGACATTGCACTTGTTCTGTTCAGAAGTGAAGATTTCTCAGTGAACTCTTGATTGATTAGTTGGTTGATTGATTGATCTTCGTATGACTGTACTAAAGTATTGCATCACTTAGTACTTCTGATTTCTTATTTTTATTGTACAATAGTCGTATATAATAATAAATTAAAAAAATGATACATTTTATTTGAAGGCGCCTTTCAAAACACTCAAGGTCACCGAACAAGAAACATAAGATAAAAAAACAATAAAATCAAATGCTAATAATAATAAAATGCATAATGACATTAAACAGAATAAGCAAGTTTGAAAAAGTGAGTTTTAAGGTTAGGTTTAAATGAGGGCAGAGTCAGAATTACGGGTGTGCTGTGGAAGAGAGTTCCAGAGACGAGAGGCTTTGCAGGAGAAGGCTCTGGATCCCATGGTTGTTAAGTGGGCAGGAGGTATTACAAGAGAGCTGGATAGAGAGGAGCGAAGACTTTGGGCAGGTGTGTAATAGCAAAGAAGATCAGTGAGGTACAGAGTTGCCAAGTTATGGAGAGCTTTGAAAGTAAGGAGGAGAAGCTTGGAAGTCGATGTGATATTTTATGGGTAACCAGTGAAGATCTTTAAGGATAGGGGTGATGTGTTCCTTCGATGTAGTTCTGGTGATTATTCGAGCAGCTGTGTTTTGAACAAGCTGAAGTTTATGGATGGTTTTGAGAGGAGGGAGTTACAGTAGTCTAATCGAGAGGTGACTGGAACCTTGATAAGGATGGCTGTGCTGGTGGGGGTAAGAAATGAACGGAGACGGTTGATGTTTCCAAGATGAAAATATGCAGACAGAGTATTGTTATTGACATGAGATTCAAAAGATAATGTGCTATCAAGGATGACACTCGGACTCTTAGCTGTAGGGGAGGGAGAAACTGTGGAATCATCAACTTTAATTGTGAAACTATTAAATTTGGATAAAGTAGATTTGGTGCCAACAAGGAGGAATTCTGTTTTATTTGAGTTCAGTTTAAGAAAATTCTGATTAAACCATAATTTGATTTCACAGAGACAGTCTGAAAGGAAGGATGGTGGAAGGGTGGTGTTGGGCTTGGTTGAGAGGTAGAGCTGGGTGTCATCCACATAGCAGTGAAAATTAATTAAAAAAAATTTAAAGATGAGGCCAAGTGGAAGAAGATAAATGATAAACGGGAGAGGACCAAGAACAGAACCCTGCGGTACACCTGAACTGAACTGTGGAGGACTGTGACTTGAAGTTCTTGAGTTGGACAAAGTGCTGACAGTCAGAGAGATAAGATTGAAACCAATTTATAGCAATGCCAGAAAAACCAATGGAATGTAATCTATCGAGAAGAATATTGTTTGAATTGGTATCAAATCCTTCACTCAGGTCAAGGAGGATGAGAATTGACAAAAGTCCAGTCGGCAGCAACCAGGAGATCATTGGTGATTTTAATCAAAGCTGTCTCGGTGCTGTGGAGGGGCGGAAACATGACTGAAGTTCTTCAAACAGATTATTATCAGAAAGATGACTGTGAACCTGGGCTGCAGCTGTTGTTTTGAGTATTTTGGAAATAAAGAGTAGGTTAGAAATTGGTCTGAAATTATTTAAGTCAGTTGGATCAGCACCTGGTTTTTTAAGAAATGGAGTTATTGCAGCAGTTTTGAGTGATGGTGGGACAAAACCAGAAGAGAGAGATAAATGAATAATCTTAGTTATTAGAGTAGATAGAGAAGGTAGACAGGCTTTAACTAAGTGTGTAGGAAGTGGATCAAGCTGACAGGTTGAAGATTTGGATTTAGAGATGAGACTGCAAACTTCTGACGGAGAAGGAAGTTGAAAACTGGAGATAGGTGTCATAGTGGGGTTATAAGAAAGAAAACCAGAGGAAGTGGATTGCAATGTGGACCATTCCTGATGAATGGTGGCAATTTTAGCATTAAAAAAAGTCCATAAATTTGTTGGTGTACATGCGTAATGGAAGAGTATCTGGAGGTCGTAAAATGGTGTTAATAATGGTAAATGGACTGTACTTATACAGCGCCTTTCTATCTTATCCAGATACTCAAAGTGCTTTACACAACAATCATTTACTCATTTACTCATTCATACAGCACTCTACTAGATCTACAAAGTTAATTGAAAAAATCATTCTAAAGAGACTAATCGGTGCTTTATCACATTCATACACTGATGGGACACACATCTAAGGCAACAAGGGGTTCAGTGTTTTACCCAGGGACACTTCGGCATGTGACTGCTGATGGATTCGAACCCCCAACTCTTGCACCGGAGGACGACTGCTCTAACTACTCGGCCACAGCTGCCCTTATAATAATAATTATTATTATAATAATAATAATATATGGAGAAGTTGTGCAATATATAGTGATATATGTATAAACTTCTTCAATGTACATGTGCATGCCAGTGTTTCCCATAGGTTACCTTTACTTGCCTTGGAAAGGTGCTCATCTCTTCTGTGATGTTTATCGACTGGGGGCGGTATGTGTGAAGGAAACGGCTCAGTGTGAGGGAGACGGAGCGCAACCTCTGTAGCTTTTTAACTAGCGCGTCTTTATTGCATGCTGCTAGCTTAGCGTACGTCAGTGTCTGCAAGGACTTGTTGGGATTTGCAAGAAACATTTCTTTCAAAAACCACTCTTTGAAAGTGCCACGTCAAAATCCAATCCAGATGGCCGCCTCCTTCAATGTATGTATGTTAACCTTGTGGGCTGGATATCATAAAAATTCAATTCAATTCAAAAATACTTTATTAATCCCAAAGGGAAATTATTTGTTGTTGTAACTCGTGATCCTCATTTCATTAAGAGATGTTATAGATGCTGATGGCTGTAGGCAGGAAGGATCTCTTGTAAAGGTCCATCCCACAGTGGATCCCTCAACACCTACAATTGGCTGTCCGCAGCGATGAGGAGCTCGGCAGACTGCTGGGAGGAGTGGCCATCGCTCTGGGAGGAGTTCTGCCCGGCATTCAGGCGGTCCTACAGTCCAGGGGAACCGAGAGGCCAGCAGAGTCTGGGTGGACGGATCGGACGGCATCTGCAGCCAGTTTCTTAGGATCCACTGTGGGATGGATCTTTACAAGAGATCCTTCCTGTCTACAGCCATCAGCATCTATAACATCTCTTAATGAAATGAGGATAACGAGTTATAACAACAAAATAATTTCCCTTTGGGATTAATAAAGTATTTTTGAATTGAATTGAATTGAATTTGATCCTAAGAAACTGGCTGCAGATGCCGTCTGATCCATCCACCCAGACTCGCCTGGCCTCTCGGTTCCCCCGGGCTGTAGGGCTGCCCGAATTTCGAGCAGAACTCCTCCCAGAGCGATTGCCACTCCTCCCAGCAGTCTGCCGAGCTCCTCGTCACTGCAGACAGCCAACTGTATGTGCAGATGAACGATCCTGTCCTTCCACTGTCGTGAGCCATGTTTCCTGCTAGTTCCAGGATCTCAGTGGTCAGGCACTCGAGCACAGCTGGCAGGTGGATGAGAATGCGTCCACAGAATATCCTTTTCAATTCATTTGAGATTTGGGGCTGTAGTTGAGATATTATTTGAGCTTTTGAGATGTTAATCAGCTGCTGTTGATTGTAGAAAACTGCCTTGTTGCCATGGTTACGCATCATAACAAAACAAATGTCCAAAACTTAAAAAGATTCAGTAAAAATCCTTACAGCTGCACAGCATCGAATACCAGAGGAAACAATCATCCAAAAAATGTGACTTACATCCAGAAAAAGAGGAATTAAAGTTTCCAAAAGCAAAATCTCAGAATGAAAGTAACAGAGCTGCTCCAACATGCAGCCACCTTGAGCGGCGCAATTCTAGAACTCTTCTTCTAGAATTCTAAAAATAAGCAACGTGCTGACTTTTGTTTTAGTGTGTGGCTATGTATAAGGGGGTATAAAGGTCTCTGTTGCTCCCTCCAGTAACTCAAGAAAGACGAGCTCTTGTTAACTTTATTTAGTTGAACGTCTCATCTTTACTACCATCGTCAGACTGCTTTCGCCACAGTGGGAAAATCCTGTTCAACGATTTGTAGACATACAAGAGTATTTTGAACTGGATTTGAATGAACCGGTAGCCAGTACAGCGAGGCCAAAACTGGTGTAATGTGCTCTCTCTTGCCTGTACTGGTTAAAAATCGGGCTGCTGCATTCTTGACCAGTTGTAGTCGTGCAATGGAGGTCTGACTGATGCCAAACAGGAGCGAATTGCAGTAATCAAGCCTAGATGTAATGAATGCATGTATTACCGTCTCCAGGTTATTTTTGGACAATATGGGCTTCAGTTTAGACAGCTGCCTCAGTTGGAAGAAACATGATTTAACAATCATGTTTACATGGTTGTTAAGTTTTAGGGAAGGGTCCGTTGTCACTCCCAGATTAGTGACTCTTTGTTTTTCTGACAGGGATAGAGTGGAAAGGTCGATGCAGTGGTTTGTGATCGTGTCATTGGGAGGGAACAACATGACTTCAGACTTCTTTTCATTGAAACTTAAGAAGTTTAAAGCCGTCCAGTCCCTGATGTCGGCCAGGCAGTCGAGCAGAGGTTGAATACAGCATGTACCATTGTGTCTTAGGGGAAGTAAATTTGACAGTCATCGGCATAGAAGTGAAAGGGTATGTTGTGTTTCCGGAAAATAGCACTAAGTGGCAGCAGGTATAAAGAGAATAGGAGGGGACCCAGGATGGACCCCTGCGTAACCCCCTATTTAAGCTCTGTCTCTGTAGAACTGAAATCCTTGATAGAGACATAAAAGGATCTGTCAGCGAGGTAGGATCTGAACCAATTGAGGGCTGACCCTGTGATGCCCACCCACTGCTCCAACCTAGCAATGAGGATCACGTTTTCAAAATGTTTGTTAAAAAAAAAATTATCTTAAGAATTGCCTTTTTGTTTTTATTTTTTGTTACCTTGCATCTGGTGAGAAGCAAGAGCATTGATACATTTCAAGTATTTTTTTCTACTCTTTCTTCAGAACTAGTTTATAAGTGCAGATATACGTTTGGCAATCTGAACGATCTCTGATGTTTTTTATCTCCAGATTTGTGGACAGTGGCGAGATGTCAGAATCTTTCCCATACAGAACAAAAGCCCTGTTTGCGTTTGAAGACATTGATGGTGTTGACGTCTGCTTCTTTGGTATGCATGTTCAGGAGTATGGATCTGACTGCCCACAGCCCAACCAGAGGTAAACAAATCATCATATTACAAAGACAATCATTTTCACACACTTGTTTTTTTATTTATTTATAAAAAAAAGTATTTACATTGCATGGCCAAAAAAAAAGGTCACACATAGGGCTGGAGGCGATACCTCAATATTTTTAAAATATCAAGATAATTTTTTTTTTTTGCGATATAAGTTGAGGTATCTCGATATAATAATAATAACAATATTGTTTTATACTTGGAAATCCTGCCGTCTTCTTTCTCCCAGGCGGCCCCCCTCCTTCTACCTCCTCGAACACAAACACACAGCCCTCAACCGTGCTCCCCCTCCCCTTCCTGCTTCTCCAGGAGGTGGTCGGGCAGGAGGAGAGGAGACGTTTAGCAGAAGTAAACACAGAGCAGCTGAGCATGTGAAGCTACCAGCTCCGACAGACCTGACTCCTTTCTTGAAATAAACCACGGTTCAGAACTCATTTAGCCGTGATGTTCCTTTTAGAGGAACACAGAGAGGAAGCACCACATTAATAAATCAGCAGTTTATCATATCGCTAAAGATGCGGTCCTTAGCGACTAACAAGACGGCTAAAGCATTAGCATTATCAAGACACTCGAAGCTCTTTACACTACAGTCTGTGCCCTCATTTACCCATTCAAACAGCACTCTACTAGATCTCTACAAAGAATAATCAGTTCTTTATCACATTCATACACCAGTGGGACACACATCAGAGGCTATAAGCGGTTCAGTGTCTCACTTAGGAACACTTCAGCATGTGACTGCTGGTGTAATCGAACCCCCAACTCTCCCACTGGAGGACGACTGCTCTAACCACTCAACCACAGCTGCCCCCAGCTGAAGAGGATTATTATTTAATATATGTATCTAGTTTATTTTTTAGGCATTTATTTTGTACAGCTACAGCTGTTAATAAATGTGCCTGTGTGACAATTGGGACAAAACTTTGACTCAAATATATTTGTGTTATTACTTTATGGAAATAAAAAATATTGAGATATATATTGTATATTGCCATTTTTGTAAAAATATTGAGATATTAATTTTGGTTCTTATCGCCCAGCCCTAGTCACACACTAATATTTGGTTGGACCACCTTTATCTTTGATTCCAGCATGTATTCACTGTGTCATTGTTTTGATAAACTTCTGCACCATCACAAGATCTATTTGTGTTGTTATCAGTGTTGCATTAATTTTTCACCAAGATCTTTCATTGAGGACTAGGCACTAGGCATGATGGGTGCATCACTTCACTTGCCTCTCTTCTTACCCTGATGCGCCCATCACTCTGGAACAAGGTCAGTCTGGACTCATCAGACCACATGACCTTCTTCCATTGCTCCAGAGTCCAATATTTATGCTCCCTAGCAAATTGAAGCCTTTTGGTTAGCTTCACTGATTAATGGTTTTCTTAAGGCTACACAGCTGTTCAGTCCCAATTCCTTGAGTTCCCTTCACATTGTGCATGTGGAAATGTTCTTACTTTCACTATTAAACATAGCCCTGAGTGCTGCTGTTGTTTTTCTTCCATTTGATTTCACCAAACGTTTAAGTGAGCACCGATCATGATCATTCAGGATTTTTTTCCGGCCACATTTCTTCCTTGGAAGACGATGGGTCCCCACTATCCTTCCAGTTTTTAATGATGCGTTGGACAGTTCTTAACCCAATTTTAGTAGTTTCTTCAATCTCCTTAGATGTTTTCTCTGCTTGATGCCAATGATTTGGCCCTTCTCAAACAGACTGACATCTTTTCTACAACCACGTGATGTGTCTTTGACATGGTTGTTTAAGAAATGAGAAGCAACTCATTGCACCAGTTGGGGTTCAATAACTTGTTGCAGCTGAAAGATAATCACCCATGCAGTAATTATCCAACAGGAGGATCGTACCTGTTTGATTAGTTAAATCCAGGTGGCAACTTTTTTTTTTGGCCAGGCAGTGTGTATACTGGTATTATATATGTATCTATGTATATTAGGGGTTGAACAACTACATCATTTTTAAACTCGACATTAACATAATACTACTCACCCACTGGGAACCACTAGCAGCAACCTTCGCTGCTCATGAGTGGACGCTGGCGCGTTTTGCTGCCGCTGCTCGTCGGTAAACTTTAGACATTTTATTTCCTTTTCTGCAAATTTTTTAACCGTCTTGTGATCGCTAATCGACGGCTACTACATTTGCCTGCCTTCAATCCAGCTTTTACCACACTGTGATTGTGTGCTATCAAGTCAAGTGATATTGGCTTACCTGTCAAACACCGACCAGCTTCAGGCCCTCATTTGACTCCTTCGCCTCACGATGTGGATCAGTCATTTTTTCGCCTGGTTTCTACTTGTATGGACTCTCCTGTTACTCCTCACTGAACCTGTGGCAGCTCTACAATACTCCGCTGATGAACTTCTTCGGCTGCGTTGGCACCAGCCCAATCCTTCGCCGGTGATGCTGCGTCTCCACCCAGACATCGCTTTCCTGCCCCGCCGGAGATACATCCACCGTGGGTCTCGCCGGAACTTCCAGCTCGACAGGTCAAAACCCATCCACTCATTTTGGACCAACAACTGTCGAGCTCCCAGGAAAGCCATCCGGTCTTCAGATCGCAACATGTTAGCCAGCCTAGCCAGGTCAGCTAACCCATCTGCTAATTCCACGTCTGTCAACTTTGGTCTGCTCAACATCCGTTCTCTCACGGACAAAGGACATCACATCCAAGATCTCCTCACCGACCGTAAGCTTGACTTTCTCTGTTTGACCGAAACTTGGCAACAACCTCTGGACTTTTCACAACTCAATGACTCCACTCCACCTGGCTTTGTTTACATCTCTCAACCCCGCAGCTCCGGTCGCGGGGGTGGTCTCGCGATAATTCATCGCGAGAGTTGGAAGGTTTTGCCAATGAGTGTTCCTGAGGTCAGCTCTTTTGAGAGCGTTGTGTGTAAACTGTCTGGACCCACCCCCACCATCATTGCCACTGTTTATCGCCCCCCAAGACCTCACAAAGATTTTTTTTAATGAATTTTCTGCCTTTCTCTCTCAACTGTCTGCCATGTCACCTAATATTATTTTATTGGGAGATTTTAATATCCATATTGACAATCTTAACCTTTCCCTCACCAATGATTTCTTATCCTGCCTGGAGAGTTCTGGATTAAATCAGCATGTTGATTTTTCCACCCATATTAAAGGACATACACTGGACTTGATTTGTTGTTCTGGACTTCCACCTGTTGACTGCAAATCCAATGAACTCACCTTTTCTGACTATTTTTTCCTTTCATTCCATATTCCTCTGTGTGTTTCATCAACCAAGACAGCCCAGCTCATCTCGTTCACTAATATTAAAGACATCAATTTGGATTCCCTTTCCACTGATATTTCCTCCACTCTGATCCCTGATCATCTTCTGACTCCGGATCAACTCACTGTTCAATACAATCATCACTTAACCCATATTCTCAACTCCCTTGCTCCTGTTAAAACTCGATCTGTTACCTTTACTCATTCTGCCCCCTGGTTTACTTCTGAACTTTGGACCATCAAAGCCAAATGTAGTCAACTTGAACGACTCTATAAAAAATCCGGTCTTACCATCCACAGGGACATGTACATTTCTCATACATCACACTACAAGAACTTGATCTCACTAACTAAACATTCTTATTACTCTGGCCTCATTTCTTCTAACAAAGGTAACACAAAGGTCCTGTTTTCATTGCTCAACAATACTTTTCACCCCGCTGACTCTCTTCCCTCTCACTTCTACTCAGACAACACATGTAATTCTCTCATGTTCTTTTTTAACGATAAAATCAGTCAAATTCATCAGCAACTTTGTCCTGTCTCTCCTCTTTCTCCCTCCTCTGAACCTTATCCGCCTAGTCAACCTTTTTCTGTCTTTCAGCTTCCTCCTGCCCCTGAAATAGCTGAACTTATCCATAAATCCAAGCCTTCTACATGCTCACTGGATCCTCTCCCTACAGCGCTTGTTAATTCTTGCATTTTGTCACTTCTTCCGTTCATTTCTGCCATCATTCACTCTTCTCTTTCCTCTGGAACTGTCCCAGTTATTTTCAAAACTGCAGTTATCACCCCAATCCTTAAAAAACCTGGATTGGATCCCAATACTTTCAATTATCTCCGTCCTATTTCTAACCTTCCATTCATCTCCAAAATTCTGGAAAAAACAGTCGCCTCTCAACTCCACCTTCATTTAACCGATAACAGTCTATATGAACAGTTCCAGTCTGGTTTCCGTCCCGGTCATAGCACAGAATCTGCTCTCCTCACTATCACCAACTCTCTTCTCATAGCAGCAGATTCTGGATTACTTTCTCTCCTCATCCTCCTCGATCTCAGTGTGGCTTTTGATACCATCCCCCACAACATCCTCCTCCACAGACTTTCATCCATTGGCATCACCCACACACCCCTCGCTTGGTTTCAGTCATATCTCTCTGGCTGCACTCAGTTCATCCAACTGAAATCATTCAGATCCCATTCCTCTCCTGTGACTTCAGGTGTGCCCCAAGGCTCTGTCCTGGGGCCCCTTCTTTTCATCATCTACCTTCTCCCCCTTGGTAATATCTTTCGTAAATTTAACATCCATTTCCACTGTTTTGCCGATGACACCCAGCTCTTTTTATCCACTGCACATAACTCTTCACTTCCTCCCTCCTCCCTCACTTCCTGCTTAGCTGAAATTAAATCCTGGTTCACGTCTAACTTCCTGAAATTAAACGGCAATAAAACAGTTTCTACTCATTGGCACTAAATCTACCTTATCTAAAGTTAACAGTTTCTCACTCACCATCGACAACTCCTTAGTTTCTCCCTCCCCTCACGTCAAGAGTCTGGGTGTCATTCTTGACAGCACTCTCTCTTTCCACTCTCACATCAATAGTATTACCCGGTCTGCATATTTCCACCTTCGAAATATCAACCGTCTCCGTCCATCCCTCTCTCCACACTCTGCTTCCATCCTGGTCCACAGTCTGG